AAAAAAAAAAAAAGAAAGAAAAATTCGAATTCGTTTGCAGTTACTTAACATTGGTTGTGTTTGTAATTACCCTTATTATTATTGTTATTGTTATTACTGTGACTACACAATGTTACTTTTAACTTATAATACCCTCTTCAATTTTCACTTGTTGATGGAGAACCATCAAAATAGATTTTATTAGGCTATTCCAATGTCATTTTCGCATGCTTTTCTTCATAATCTCATTTTCTTGCTTGATTCTTGCAGTTTCTGAAGAGAACTTGTTTGTTCCCGACCAACAAGACACGGTTAGTCATAATTAATAGTTTGTGTTGTTAAAAACAGAATAAATAAATAAATAAATCCTGGCTTGGTTACTCTGCATCTCAAAAAGTTGTGAATTGAGTTGTCTTCTTCCAGGATAAGGATAGGTTTGATCACCCGTACACTTCCTTCTTGTTTTACGGTATGGATGGTGCTGGGGATTACATCCCTATCAGGCAGCTTCGGGAGAAGTACAACCAGCCCCGGCATGAGCTGCCGTACGACCCAAAAGATGGAAAAGACGCGTAGATTCTTTGTTTACCTTTTACTTTTCTTTTTCCACGGAATGCACGTTTTTTATTACAGCGTTGGGGATTACATGGTGCATCATTGCAAGGGACGGGAATCTGTTTTGTCTTATGTTACTTGCTAATGGAGTTCGATTTTACAGACGTGTGACGAGGCTTATGTGTGCTTGCGGATATTTGGTCGTTTGTTTATGGAAAATGTAGTGTGTAAATTATTTGGTTTTTTTTCTTAAATCTCCACCTGTAGTTTCTCGTTTTGAACTGTTGAGGTTTTGTGCACAGTTTAGATCACCCAGCGTATACTTAAATTAAAAAAAAAAAAGTCAATGGACAAAGAAGATTAAAACAACGTTATTTTGGTGTTATTACTTTAATACTACCCTGTCAATCAACTGATTATCATTATCGACTAATCATTTAACGAATTAAAAGTAATATGAAAAGAGTACAGTATACCCTACAGCTACCTGTCACATTGAGTTATGCTTGTGACCAAGACTGTTGAAAGATACGCTCGGTTTTTTTTTTTTTTTTTTTTGA